GCCCATGAGATGTGGAGTTTGTGACCTCACGGAGTGCATGGTACCTAATAACATGTCCCAAGTAACTGCTATGGAGTACTCGAAACTCTAAACCTGGCGCGGTGGCTTTCCACAGAGTCTCACTGAAAACCTCCACGTGGCCATTACATTGGGGCTGTAGGGTGTGGTTCTGTTACTTGCTGTGTTTCTTGCGTGTAGATTCTTTCGATTCCGGGGATGTCAACAATAAGCCCTGATCAGCATGGATGTAAGCCATAGAACCAAACAGAGCAAACAGCCATTCAGTAACTAAACGTCCCCATATCTGGGTAGACGAATGCAAAGGAAAAACGATGATATTACTCGGTACTAGTCAGAAGTATATATTACGGGTAACGGAAGACATTGGCGCTTGAAGTCGGTATCAAGTCTCTTCAATGTTTTGGTTGCTTTGGCGAGTTTTTTGTGCTGATTTGTAAAGGCTAGGCTTAGTCTGCTCACTTACCAAACACTGGTCTGTCATACATATAAATTGTGCAGAGTGCGGAAGATTTTTAAGCGGACAAAATACATCATTCTTCGAACACTTGGGTAACAGAGAGGCATGTGGATCTTTTAACTCCGTAAGGCTTCATACCAAAATTCACAAACTGTGAGAGAGATGGCATGGGCGGCATTTTCTTCGCATGACTGTCACACAACGTCGTGGTTGGAAGAAGACGACTAGATTAATTCACCCCGGCGCTTCACTTTCGACGCAAATGTTGAGAGTAATCACTTCACACCATCTTCGCGTTTTTATGGCGCACAGACGCTGGGACAATAGTGAGGCGAACAAAACGGTTTCGACAGCTGGGTGTGTTTACAATGAACTCAGAAGAGACATACCTTAGTGAAGTATCCATTTTCCGACAAGGTTGCAGAAACTCTCCATACCTAGGTGAAGAGTTTGAGGGCGTCTAGACTCACAAGAAGATACTTGTTATTGATAGCTATCACGGTTTTGTAATTATCCTGTCGTAAAGTGGTTTGGGTTTCATGCTCTGGTTGGAAAAAGCTCTCCGTCACCAAACAGATGGTCTGTGTTACGGGACAAAAATTATTTTTCGAACCAAGCTTCTGGTTTGCTTGGCTGCGTTCTGTCCTACTTTACGATGTGACAAGTGGCCATTACAGGTTCAAGGTCTTAGGCAGCTTGAAGTTTGGTTGCTGATGTTTTGGGCATACCCTTAAAACGTGCTGCCGCGATTGCCTGTCTTACTGCTATGTTCTCCGACGCTGCCTCGGAATAACATGTTTGATCACGATCCTCAAGACAAATTGGGGAAGTCGACTCAATTTACTTTCCCCTGAACAGGTTGTCATTTTTGATGTGGGGGCCAGGTGCAACCTTTGCCAGCTGCTGTCGAATCCGATATCTTTTGGGGCCTGTAGCATTCTGGGGTCTCGCTAGAAGGATGATTAGCTCGAAAACCGAGTGCCGCGCCTGGAGAGTGCCCGCCAGTCCGATCACAGGTTGGTCAGGAGTTCAAGAAGAGTGGCTACAGTTTAACTCAGGTCTAGCCAATGTCTGCCTTGCGTCCAAGTTGTCATTTTCAACAGTCCCCAATTTTAAGTAGAATATTTCGAAATCAACAAGCTAGGTGATTGTCTTCAGTGTTCGTCAGCTGTCTCTGAATCCGTTGCCGCTGGGCGAAATGGGAACCGCTCCACCGTGATTCAAGTCTTCTGCAAGCCTTCTCGGGCTAGCTTGAAAATGCCTGTGATGCGCCCCAATTTTCGTGTCTTTCAGTGCCTTTTCTTATGTCACAGATGAACTGTTTTGTACTGCAGTTGAATGCGTAGTTCGTCTCTGTTTAATCTTTTGAATCTTTCTCAATGTCTCTGTTTCTGCTGTTATTTCTAGTCACAAAGAAATGGATGACCCAGCGAACCGGCTCAAAAGTGAATTGTACGCAATGCATTCTCACGTGTTTTAGACAAATGCCCAGCCTATTTTGAATATTATCAAAAACGTATGGATAAGACGTCCTGTTCATTGGATTCAAAAGTGACGGTACCGCTTGTCTATGCGAATGTTCCAATTTGATTTCAGCCTGAGGACGATGCCACGCTGAGCGATAGTTCCGATAATTTGGACTACACCAAAGAGTCGATAGATTTATTGAAGAGTAGACTTGCAAGTTGCCTTGACGAGGTTAGCAAAAGCAGTAAGTAATTATATTGTCCTTTATCATACATGATGTAGTGGAAAGCGCGTTGAAGGACTCAGAACGCTTTTCATATGCGGAGAAAAAGATCAAGAGACCTTGACTCTCCTCCAGTTAATGGGAATTCAGGGTTCCTCTCATAATCAGTATGCCGTTTTCCTCAGTAGGTTGCGTTACTGCAGTTCAAATAAAGTTACTGTGATCGTATTGCAAAAATGCACGAGAAATACATATTTTATGTTGCTCTTCACTTATTGATTATCCCTCCGAAAATATTTATCGAACGGATGCTGTGATACTGCTTGTACTCCCCATATATGTGAATACTATATTGAGACTGACATGCCGGGTTTTCGTGCAAACCCATTGCAAAGCCTTATTATCTGTGGTGACTTGTCACCGGGTTCCAGGCAGTTTAGTCCATTAAGGTCTAGCAACATTTAATAAATCCAAGTTAAAACCCTTGACCATTACATTCTGGTACACAGAATATCCGACGCTTCACTGATAATGGAGGCAAGCTGAGTGAATAGTTCATGGGAGGTGACAAGTCGGTTAAGTGTATGTCACGGATCGCGGCTGCTCATGTCTGACGGCTGATAGTAACAGCCGCGCAGACCACGACTCCTTTTTTAGTGGTGAATGCTTTAGCCGAAGTAGATACCAATATACTCCATAGTTCGTCCGACCTATTGCGTCTTGTTTTCAGTCATATTTAACGGTGACGGAATTAGCCATCAATGAGCCTTAATTTGAGGGTATCTGTATCGCGTAGATGCACAGAATTATAATTGCAGTTTTGCGGAATAGGTAATTCATTTGGCTGTACCTGCATGTCTTTCGATTCTTTATTCGAACCATTGCTGTTTGAAAAGTATGTACGGACTCGGTCGTATCACTCTCATACATTTATGACTGAGTGTCGAAGTTCTGTTTATAGCATGTGGTTACCACGTTTTTTGCTTTCTCGGAGTCGCCAGTTTACAACAAGTATTCACTCGGGACTCACCGCGAATCGTGTTGAAGTGTCTGTTATCAACCTATTTTGGTGGAAATCACATACTACTACTAATATTAGTGATAGTTCCTTGAAGCTGGCTCACCTTGATTGGAGGTTTCACATCAGTAGAAGAGTGTCTAATTCTTACGGGATATCAGTAATCATTTGACGGATTTATTGTTCAGTTACGCTCTATCGTTTACGGGCTAGTCTAAGCTTCCATCATCGTCAATCAAGCGCTATATCCATTCCAGATGGTGCTATGTTTCATGTCTATTGGGATAGCATGTCTTTTTTGCTGACCGAGAGGCTGTTAGTAAAGTCCCCTGCAGTTGAAGATAGAACAAAGATTTCGTTTCTCAGGTATGCTGGGGACTACCGGAGATCGATTAGCTCTCCCAAAGCCTCTCTTCTTTCCATAGCGCAGTCAGAGTTCCCCTCTTGATTTTTCCTCAGGAGTTGGTATGGATTGACGGTTTTCTACTTTTAGGGCCATTAAGCAGTCTCCGACACGAATTTTTCCTCAGAGTTGGTATGGATTGACGGTTTTTCTACTTTTAGGGCCATTAAGCAGTCTCCGACACGAAGTTAAGTTCATCCTGGTAAACGGCCTTGTAGCGTCTGGAAAGCACAATATAGAGTTTATCTATTTTTGGTAGCTCCTAACCAGCTGAGCTGTATGGAGTGGTGATTGGATATGAATAAAGAAATTTCGCATCCAGTGTTGTACGGGCCGGGTGCCAGCCTAACATATTAGGTGGTCTTGCCATGACAAATGGCATAACTATGACTTTCGATAAGATCCTTTGACTTGGTCCCAATTATTGGGGAGTCCCATCTGGTTGCCGTCCCGTTTGCATTGCCAGGGTCCCTCACCTCTGACGCTTATATCCGGCACTAGACTGATTGGAATGAAACGACTGTATAGAAAACTATCAAACTATATGACAACTGATGAGGTTGTCACTGCTCAACTCATGAGTCCATCTTGAACAAGCTATCCGAAAGTAGACTAATAACGCGATCGGTTAGACTGCGAAGTGGATCCGCCTTCCCCGGCCTACTTCGTAACATAAACTTCTTACAGTAGAACCGCTAGTGGGAAACTCGGCTGGGCCCTATCCACGGGTTCGTTGAATTGTTGTAGGGGCGAGATGGAAAAAGCGGTTAGAGCGCGAATTCACTGACCGGAAGGCATGTGTTTCGATCGCGACCTCCGCCTCTCGACTTCCCCTGTAGACAGGGAACCTGGCAATATCCCAGCCCTCGTCCTTCCTTCGTGTGGCATGACAGCTAGGCACCGAAAGGGTGCTATAGTTGAACGATTTATTTTTCGCTTTTAAATTGTTTTAGATGTGCAGTTGTCAATGAATGCATTGTTGCATACACATCACACTTGTGCAACATCCAGGTGCAACTTTCTTCCCATTTTTAACAAAACGGATAAACATTTTTAGCTGTACCATTTATGGCAATTGTTTTTTCATTTCTCCATGAACTGGCGCCAAACGTGGGGTCTTAGTCATAACCTTTGCTGTCCACTCGCGTCCTTAAGTACAGCTAAGATGATTGTGAACGTCTAATGTAGAGTTGTCTGTATGGATTTGTCTTCCGTTATTGTCGGGCGAAAATAAGTCTTCAGTAGATCTGTTGTACATATTCGAATGCATTTTCCCGGAATTTCCTGATATACTAGAAAAATGACTCGAGTACATACATCGAGGCTTCGTACGTGACTGTCTGTACATTTTCTCAGTGTGGTTGTCTAATTTCCAGTAGGTTTGTTGATTAACGGTTATGATCAAGTATACATGAGGAATTCGTATTTGCCTGCAGCCTTTCTCCATGGAATTTCAACTGAAGTGTCGCTGGGACGCTTGTAACTCAGGTCCACATGATGTCGCCTCACTCGGACAGCATTTACTCCATAATCACACTATGGATGACGGTTCACCCTGCCGCTGGTTCCTGTGCCCACAGGCAAATGATGGCACAATTGCGAACTCGGAGTCCTGGAAGGCACATCTGTTATCACACGCAGTGTTTGAATATTACTGCTTCAATTCCTCCCAGTCTTTATCCGCTCGTGTTGGTCGGTTATTGGAAAACCCAGTTTGTTCCCCAAATTGCGCTTTTGCAGGAAATAACACTATGTTGCCTAACGAACTCAGGATCCAAGGCATTCCATGGGAATGGTTTAAAACGGAGAACGCGTCAAGCCTAATCAAAACCGAACGCGAAGTTCCTCCATTATTTGGTTGTTATTTTTGTTATACGGTTTTTCAAAAGGAAACAGATTACCTACGTCATGTTCACCCGGGTGTGTTGGCTTCACACTGGCGGATAAAACGGCGCGGTTCTCGCTTCACCTGCTTATGGACGGGCTGTGGGGAAAAGTTTGATTCAAACGAGCGCCTTCACAGTCACATTGAGAAGCAACACTGGTGCACTTTGTTAACGCCTTTTTGCTTTTGGCATAACTGCTCGAGCGACACAACTAAGTTGTGCACTAGCATCGAGTGGCTGCGTCATTTGTTTCTGCATAGCTTTATCGAGTCTCGTGTCTGCGCCAGTTTGCAGCGACTTCAAACTAACAGAAACAGAATTGGTGTAAAATGTCGGGGCATTAACTTTCAAAAACCCTCGTATGTCAACAAAACCATGGATAAGCTGCTCTGGCATACCGACATTCTCCATTCGGGGTTCCGATGTCACTGGATTGAGTGCGAATACACGTAAGTTTTGCTGCTTGTAATCTGATTTGCGGGATTAATTCGTCTTCCAATTTGTTTGGTCAACGAGCACAGAAGTTTGTCAACAATTATTTGGTTTTTCTGTTCGGTTTATTTGTCTACTACTGAGCCGATCCCATTTGTAAATGCTTCCATTGCGCATTTTTTGGGTTGCTGTTGGTATCCATGCATGAAAATAAGAACATTGGAGCATTTTTTGAATCACTGTCTGTCATGTAGCTACGTCAACCATATCAACCTTTGGAAAGAAGGATGTCTGAGGGAATTGGATGCTTCAACAGTAGGGTCCTGGCCCTTATTGGTAGTTTGTAAAAAGCTCAGATTTCAGTTAGTTGCTTCAGCGTAGGAATTTTGCACCACTGGGAAGGAAAACGATGGATTCTGTCCGAAGAAGCTTATTTAGTTGGGTCACTCTCGTGAAGATCAGTGAATTGTGGCGAAGACAACCATGAGCTTCAATTGTTTAGGCGGTTTTCCCATTCTATAGCCAAAGTTGTGCTTTTTTCCATGACTTTTTTCAGTACGGATTCGGCACAACTCTTTGTGGACCATGCGGTTGAACATGCAACTTCGGACGTGAGTGACAATGGCCCATTTATATGTCATTGGGTTACTTCCTCCGTGCCAACCGCTGCTACGTCTGTTCAGGACGTAGACCAACCAACTATTTGCAAACGTACTGTGAGTAAATTGTCCGCTTTGAAAGAACATCTCTACCGGCACACGGGTTTGCCAAAGTTCATATGTGATCAATGTTACGTTGGATTCAGCGAGTTCAACACGTTCAGGGAACACTTTTCATGGAGCATTCCAGATCCTTTGCGCTCCGATCCATCAGGTAATTCTTACCGTTTGCATTGTTTTGTACTGGCGAGAATGTCCCACCTTCCATTTATCAGTGGACTAAAATAGCTCATGTAACCGCTAGCGACAGCACCAGTGTGAGAGCACTGTTGCTTTGCTGCCATGCATAGGTATGGTTGAACAGAAAACGGCCTACCACGTTTTTCGCCACTCGCTCATTACCAGTTGAAGCTGACCACGATCATCCTTTGTTATTTCAGCCCTTGTACAACATGACAACTATACGGACTCCGATTACCAGGAGTCTACGGGCTCCCCTCGTTCATCGAGCGGAGAGCATACGGTCTCGCGTTTTTCACTGCTTCATTGCCCTCGTTGCTCTGCAACGTTTATTACCCGGCACCGACTGATTGAACATCAAAAGAGCAGGAAGTGTGTGGCTCTCGGCCGAATGGAAGAAGACCCAGCTGCAACTGTGATGCTTAGTCGTCGTCCAAAGAAACCCGGAGTGTGTACACGTGTTGATGGCGCGCACCGCTTGATATCAACCAGACCAGAAGACAATCCACAACTCACACAGTATTTCTGCTGTCAGGTGGAAGGTTGTCAGTTTCAGTCCAAAGAGTACTGGTCATACAAAGATCATTTCAAGCGATCTCACTTGTCTGCTAGTGAAGGCACTCGGTATCTATGTCATCTGTGCGAATTTTGGGCGAGAAATTCAAGGCTAATGACAAAACACTTTCGCGATAAGCACGGTTTGGTACCTTCCACAGGACGAAAGCGTTTCACGTATAGCTATTATCCCAACCTTTCTGGCTATAGAGTAGTGTAGACATCTGTGTTAAGTTAACTTTCATGAACGTCCTCCATAATTTTTTTTCTGTCGATACCTTTAAAACATCAACCAGCATTTAACTACAATGATCTTTTTTAATACGGGCACGTTGCATCAGCCTCCAAGAGAACTATTTTTGTTACTGACAGAGTTTCCAAACAGAGTTATATGTATCTTTTTGAGCGGGATTTTTACTTCAATACAATACTTCAATACAATTCGGATTGTTTATTATCCTTTGGCGTGTGCACATCAGATCATTCATTTAGCTTGATTTCAGAACTAGGAAATAATGGATGCTCCCGTGGCTCCGGATTTGGAAGAAATCATCGGTGGTTCAGATGAAGAGAACGAAGCAGACACGGAATTACTTACTCCTGCTGNTTGTTGAGGGTGGGTCCTACTCGTTGTCCCCTTTCGAAGTAATACGTTTGACTCATATCTATGCAGCTTTGGTTTAGCTTTTTAGTGTGACTCTCTACTGCGGGGTAAGATGAGCCTGCCCAGATCCAGGGCATGTGATAAAGTCGATTTAGTGCTGTCTCGTGTGGGTCAAATGCAAATGATGTTTCCAGTTTCCCCGCAACTACAGAAACAAGTCTTTCCATACTAGAACGGAATATGGTCATCTGTTTACTCTCTGAGCTTGGCAGTTTGGTTGCAAACGTTTCATCGCCAATCGAGGCGACATCACCAGTGTGCCGTTAGGGGTCGGAGTAAGTCGTAGCGGTGTCAGTGTTGCATCAGTTGTGCGTCACCATTCTACACTCCATCTCCTAGCAGCATATTGATGATATTGCCCTGATTGGTAGTTATTTGACATGTGTTTACTAGAAGTACCTCATTCCGACAACACTTTTGATACTCAGTAGGCTTGCTTCTGAATATTCAAGTTATCCTGGTCTATCAACAGCATGGATTTGAACATTGGTTGTTCGAGTCCGTCGTCTTCACCGAACGGGCAATTCTCGGGCTACTGCGGCCAGATTGAACAATGAACATGAAAGAAAACGAATTTAAGAGGAAGTTGTGCTGACTTTACTCCAAACCAGTTATAAGTATTGGGAATTCGGCAGATAGCAACTTGTTCTCCAGAGGTTCATCCTGTTTCCAGCTCCACTACCCACGCATTGCAGTTCAACTAGTCAATAGGATTTCTGGTTCGTAGTCGGATTGATTAACCTGATTTCTGGTTTCCTCGAACCATAGTATTTTTACGGAATACTCTGTCCTGATGCTGCACTAAATTCCGATACAATACAAACTGAGCAATTTTCAGAAGAGTCTGTTCTGAGACAAAGGAACATCAGCTTTCTAGGGACACCTTCCGTTTCCGTCACAATCGACTGGTAAGCCTAGGCCGGTGTTCATACGGTTTGGGTGTTTTGTTTTCGGGAATAAATAAAACGCTTGCGGAGCCGGAGGGCGTTTTTCTTCGCTTCAGGACGTTTTGACTTGTGGAGAAAATCCTGTATTGCCCAAATGCTTTCCTTAGGGGAAGAGTTTCTCTGGACTCTCTTCATGGGTGTATTACTATACACTTAGTGAACGGAGCACGCTGGAAAACAACCGTTTTCACATAGATAGTTAAAACCCACTAGTTTGTTGTTGAGCGATTCTGGTCATTTGTCTTTTTAAGCCTAATTGCCCACGGAAAATCCGAATCCATTCCGGATAATCCATGAAAGATAGTTCAGTGTTTTCGAGGAAATAGGCTTTGGACTTCTAGTGGGGGTTAGAATGGGAAATATGATGGAACTAAGTATGTTTTGGAATTGTTCTCACTATGTTTTCTACATCCATCCAGAAGGGACTGGGCGTTACCGTGGTGCGACGGTCTGTGTACCTACGCTACCCATTGAGCTTTACTGGGGGATGTCCGCGCGGCACGCGCAAAGTTTCTCACACCAGGTTGGTCAGTGATTAGAAGTCTGACCAAATAATTGTCCTGGTCCTCCAGGTTAGGTGTTGGAACATGCGTGGCGACTTGTTTTTTAAAAATTGCAATTCACCTGCGAGTCACACTAAACAACCCGTGTTGCGGTTAGGCCTTGGTTTAGGCTTTGGTTTAGGACTCTAATCGTCCTCCTGTCTCGGTGTGAGCGTGATGGCAATACCCTAGCCCACGTACAACCGTGAGTTTCACACACAACTTCACTCACGCCACGTTCACCGTCAAGTGATGCCAATTAAGTGGTCGACATGAGCTGGGCCCTGTACGTACGGACAGCAACGATTGTTTTGTTCACCGTCAAGTGATGCCAATTAGGTGGTCGACATTAGCTGGACCCGCTACGTACGGACAGCAGCGAACGTTTGTTTCACCTTTGTGCTTACCAAATACTGTTTTTATTCCGAACGATTGTTTCACCTCTGTGCTTACCAAATACTGTTTTTTATGCACCACAAATTTACAAAACAGCCGAAGTTGTCTGGCCACATGGTGTCCTTCAACGGCGTGCCGGTTACGAACTAAAATTTGGCACATTGTCATCAATACCGGTGGCGCGGATCAATAACTGATTGTCGCTCGTTCTGGAGCATTTTTGTGGATTCCGATCACGCGCTCGTCCGGAGTGTCTTCTTCCTTAGTTCTCTAGGGCCGCATAAGGTGCGAACGAATCGCTTGGCAACTGAGAGAATGGCAGACCCGGATCTTGTACAGATTTACCGGAATCGTCTTCTAGACGATCACCATCAGGTGTCTATTCATACTTGGACGAGGTTGCCACCTTTGTGAACGCTTCTGAAAGTTTTGCTTGTGGCACAGTGCTCCCAGGCCCCCTCAACCACCGGATATCAGGCCGAACGCTACCATTTTAAATCCCGGAGAAATATTCCAGCCGATCCCAACATAAGTTGACCCAGCGAGTTATCAGACGTCAAGTGAAAGTGAGCGTGCGAGCCAACCGCGAAGTTTGGTGTTTTCCGCGTCTAGTTTAGAGGGGTGGGGGGCAGCAGAGGGGTATGAAAGAAATTACTAAACATTTGGGTGTTCTCGGTGCTACTCGCCTTCCAGGATGGGGACCGCGCGATCCCCACTGTGACTGTTTGGAGACGCTGCAATATATGGCTTCTATTGCATGTCAGTGGCGTTCTTGTTTTCAGTTTCTATCCAGATTGCTTGAATGAGTACCTAGAGGTGTAGACACCTCGGAATGACTGTAACTAGCTAGCACTAAATCCACCCCCCCGTCCACCTTTATTATTTTCTTTACAATAAGGCTTTCAAATAAATCATTTTTGTATGGTAGAGAAGCTGACGTACATGCATTTTGTGGTTTCTGCCATGTTTCTTGTTGGTTTGCAAAATGACCTCTGAATATTGTTTTGCTGAGTGGGGTGGGCTAAAGGACTAGTTGGCACTGATTGCTGACAACCTTCTCGAAATGTAGACAGCTATTCTTGTCCGTGTTGAGAAACTCGCGTTGTTTAGCGCCTCCTGGTTCCTAAATGATGGCTGACTATGGTGCTGTTTACTGGAATTCGGAATCTGACCGGATGTGTTTTCTTTCTTAGTGAACTTGTTCAAGCTTGATGATAAACATTGCCATTATTTCTCTTATACACAGGTTTGGCAAAATGAAAAAATTGCCCCGGAGTTGTTGGGTGCTCATCCAGACCTACTAAGTTTGGTGCAAGGTGAAACTGACCGCTTGGAAGCACAGGCAAAATCATTACCGGCTGGAGATTTACGTGCTCAAATTAAACGTCTTCAGGTAAGCACTGCGTTCGTTGTTTGTCAATGTATCTTCTTTTTTTGGACAGCCACTCACCTTATCCCTGTTGATGCGCATCCTTTCCAAGACACCGCAGGAGTATGCGGAACATAGCAAACGAGTCAAGATCCTGTGCCTCCTGAAGAATATAGGGACTGCATTTGAATTCAGTAGTGACCATGATAATGGTGTATCCATCCTGAATTTTTCAGTTTACCAAGGTAACGCGGAAAACCCATGGAAGGGCTTTCTTTCTCGCAGTGACACTGACCTCGGTATTCTTATTTTTTCACCTAATGAACACCCTGCGGCATGCCACCGTTGTTCCTATGTGATGTGTGTTCTTGGTCAGGTAGCGAAAGGGTGGAGGAGCTGGTGGCACTATTTAGTGTGACCTTTGTCCGAATAATCTGAATGGCCCAGAATGTGATCATCTGACCTCAGCCACGGTTGCCATTTTTTCTGCCTCCCTGTCTGAGTACCAGCAAATGGGTACTCAGTTAGCAAGATGTCCGCTGCAAACAATTGACCGGTGAAACTTGTGCATGATTACTTGCTTGGGCACTACAACAGGCATATCACGTACGAGGTCAGTGACACTGTCTCTCTTGGATAAATCTCATTTTGGGACAGTAATGCTGCAATCTGACTCCGTTAGTTGGATGTTTTGTCCCCAACGCATTTATTATGGTATCTCATGCTGGAGGGTATTCAGCTCAACATAAGCGGCGTATTACTAACCTGATATTATTATTGTGGCTGATCCATTCCGGAGGAGTAGCTGTCTCTATAAATATCCTGTGTTGATGCGCCCATATCTGATGATCTGAGGCAAAATGTGCAGAGATGTAGACCGAGTGAGTGACCCAGTCTTGTTTCCAAAGCCCGGAGACCGCAATCAGACGGTAGGCTGAGGTGACTGACGTCTGATTTGGCGGTAAACTACAAATCCTTGGTTCTTCTCGTCGGCAACAACGACAACCTTAGGGTAATGAGGGGTCAAGAGCCCTCAAGTGCATTGTCCTGTCTGTGGAGTACGCATCTGTTTGGTAAGATGTGGCTACCGAGGTATTTGATCACAGGTAATGTTACAATATCAGCGTCTTTTAGGGTGATTGGTTGTTTTTAGTTCGTGTAGCATGTGCCGAGGAAGGTTGTATTAGAGGCATTGATTTCTGAACCAAGTTTGACATATTGCCCAATCCGAGTTAGTTCCGGTGCAAGATTGATAGTTGCCACCTGGTCGTCACCCTAGCTGTCACCGATGTCGGATATCTGGGTATCCCAGGTAAGTTGCATAACTCCAGCTTCTGAAAACATTATCCATTATTAACATTTGATCTGTTCCCCGAGGCAATTGACATACGGGGTTATGGTCACCATTCGAGGAGATATCAACAGCGCAGGGGGCCGTTGGAGCTTAAGGTGATGTCTGAACGTCTGACTTAGAGAAAATACCTGTTCAGCACAACCCCTTGCTGAGCGAAAGTACTTCGAATAGTTTCGCCTGTGTATCCCTATGGTTGAGACACCGGTAATTATCGCTTATTGATTTACCACCATCCTTTAGGATTGGTAGTAGAGCTTAAGTACCCCAGTACCTCGTATAGAGCAAAGGTGTTTGTGGATTCGTGGCGCTTCTCTACCTGTCTAGCTTTGTATACTTGTGTGG